GAGTGTAATACTTGGTGACTATGCGTATAAAGATCGCCCTGTCCAGAGTCCACTCCGTGCGTTTGTTGAAGTGACGTGAAGCCCAGTCCGCATCGACATTGTGTACTCCTGGAAGATGTTGTGCTGTTATCCATGTGCCTTTCTGTTGACAAACGTTCCAAATTTCCACTGCCAAGGCTGCTAACATCGACGACCGTGTCCCCCCTCTCTTGTTGACATACGCTACTGCTGTAGAGTTGTCCATCTGCAGAGCAATATGTTGTGGAATCTTAACTTGTGACATCAGAAAGGACCGAATGCCTAGAAGGGCTGCTCTTAATTCGAGAATGTTGATGTGTTGTCTGGATTCTTGGATGTCCCATTGTCCCCCGTTGTGCGTCCATTGTAGTGAGCTCCCCATCCGCGTTTGGACGCATCTGTGTAAACGATCTTGTCGAACGGTGGTAGGGAGATTAGGTATTTGTTGAACTGATGAATCTTTGTCGAGGTCCACCACTGGAGGTCGTTCAGCGAATCTCTTGTGAGATAAATTCGCATTTTGTTGCAGAAGCCTTTGTTCCGGTGAACGCTGTTGATATGTTTCCTCTGTAATGCACGATAATGCAAGGGACCCTGTATCAGACCCACTTGCGAACAATGATTCATCCTGCCTAGTAGAGCAGAGCGTTCTTTCAGTGTCAACCAGCGATTGTTGAGCGCATTCTTGCACTCTAATTGGAGATTTTGGAGTTTCTCGTTTGGAACGGCTTGCGTCATCTCCTTGGAATTTATCAAGGATTCCAGGGACTCTAGACACTGGAAGGGAGCTTGAGAGCATTTCTCCTGCTTGATGAGAAAACCAAGACGTTGTAACAGAGCGACAACACTCCGAAAGATTGACGACAGTCTCTCTGGACTCTGGTCCAGGATAAGCATATCGTCTAGGTATATCACTATCCGAATTCCTTGTCTCCGTAGCAGTATTATGACTCGTTTTAACAGTTTCGTGAAAGTCCTGGGGGCGCTGGATAACCCGAATGGTAGGCATTGGAATTCGTAAGTTATGCCTTGGAAGACAAACCGTAGGTATTTCTCGTGACTGTCGTGAATTGGTACCGAAAGATATGCGTCTTGGAGATCTAACTTCATCATGAAGTCGCCTGATTGGATAAGTTTGCGTACTGCTTCCAGACCCTCCATCTTGAACTTCTGAGAAACGACAAACCGATTGAGATTCTTCAAATTGAAGACTGGCCTTTCTTTGGTTGTTTGTTTCATAATGAACAGTGTTGAAGTGAATTAATTTAGTTTCTCCTGTACAGCTTTTACTGGACCTTTTGTTTGGAGTTGTGAGATGGCTTCGTTTATAGAAGCTAAGTCCTCTTTTGACTTGGCTTTTGTTTGTCTTTGTCTCCATTGTATTGGTTGACAGACAAAGGGAATTTTGTACCCTTGAACTATGGATAGAATCCAAGGATCTGACGTAATTAGTATCCAATTTGAGTAAAAATGTTTGATTCGACCTACTACAAGATTGTCTGGTGGTATTATGTCCTGAAGTGATGGCAGCTGATAGTCAGCTACGTTTTGCGTGGCTTCCACGGCGTGCCCAATAGGGTTTGTTTTTGCCGTTGGTGGTAGGATGCTTTCTGAAGGAGTCATTACGGTGCTGTCGGCCAAAACTGGAATGCTGGAGAAATTGGTCACGAAAGGGCTGGTCACGAAAGGATTTGTGAGGTTGAAAGCGTCCTCTGGCGGAGAAAAATCTTTGAGGTTTGATTGGTTGTGCCACTAATTTTCGATTTGTGTTTGCATGGTCATGTTCCTCTTTAATGACATTATGAAACTTTTTAGGGAAGAAATGCTTGTCAGCTGGAATGTGATCTTTCAGCGTACACTTTCCAACATCAATTAAGTACTCAGTGAAACGTTGTTGTCGCCAGCTGTTAAGGCGACAATGTGCATTGCCAAGGAGTACAATAGCATCTTCAATAAGAGCTCTGATGTGGTCGGGATCAGGACCCGAGGGCTCATCCTCATCGACATTCACTTCTCCTGCTGGCTCTAACGCTTGTAGAGCACTAACAAGTGGTCGAACAACAGAAATAAAGGGTGCTTGTGTGGCAGCTAAACCCTCATCAAATGTCAACATATCTTTCGTTCGAGATAGGCCATGAACTGGTTTAATGTCCTCTTTTATCCCAGATTGGATTACGGGTGACACTAGGAAATCATTTGTTCCTTTAATATCAGGATATTGTTCCATTAAATTTGTACAAACTTCTTCGGACAGTTGCTTGGTAAATGCAGATTTGAGAAAAGAAGTTAATTCTTCAGAAATGGTAGTTTCTTGTGCAGGTGCATAATATTTGTCAGACCGACTAGAGACAACAGAGACTGGTGTTTCACGATCATCCGCTTTGGCTTTTTTGGGTTGTGGGTGTGCCCCAACTTCATTTGCTTGGGAGCCATCAGGATCTGTCATAAATGCATTTCTTAAAATATCTGGTAAAGCCCTCTTTAGTGTCTCAGTGACTTTGTTTTCCCTTGATGAGCATATTGATCCTGCGAGATGGGTACCTGCAGGAAACCAGGTCATATATTACAATTGTAATTTATTTGTGTGTGTGTTGTAGTAAAATATATTCGTCGAGCGGGCACTCTAGACGAATTTTGCACTTATCTACCTGCGATATGGGTACCTGCAGGAGGTATAATCAAGTAGAACGGAAAAACCAGGACTTTGACGGAAGGTATACGATCAGGCGACATAAGCCCGCGAAAAATAGCATAACAAAGCGCTATAGTTTTACCGAGTTGTTTTCCAATATATTTCGTTATTTAATTTAAGAAACAGCTTGCATACTTAGCACTTACCTTTTCAGAGGCCATTCTTGCATGAAAGTGGCGAAAAGTGTTTCGGATGGACGATTTTTAAACGGATTTCTTGTGAGTGAAACAGATCGAAGCTTGCCCACGAAAAAAAGAGGATGTCATTACGCATGCGTTGAATTTTATTAAAATGGTGGGTTCCAGGCCGTCGCGCGCCGCGAACTGCACCAGTATTGTGAGTATCAGTCGGAGAATGAGTGAAGGAGAAATATCCAGCAGCGGGAACTTGGGAAGTATAACTAACTCAGCAGATCTTGTGAGTCAGAGAGTTGTTATAAAGCAATTTGCAATCGAGTGTCGAAAGAGATCCTCCCTTGCATTGCTGTGATTTACTTTGCACTGTGATTGGTCCAGGAAATTCGCGCCACTCTCTCAGCCAATCAGATGCAAAACTAACACCACTCCCGACTTTGTCGGCCGCGTTTTGCCGCGCTTTAGGCAGTTTGCTTGATTTTACTTTGAGTTCACATTTGCTCTTAAGTATTTTCTTTTCTTCTGAAAGGTCGTTGTAATGACTTTCGTTTTGGTTTTTACGACACTCAATAGAAGAGTGCGATTTTGTGTACAATGTTTTTATTATTTCTACTTACTATTTTAATTTTCAGTATGTTTTCGTTTACTCTGACATTCATTTTAGTTTTTGTTTTTTTTTTCTCGTAGGACTCCTTTAGCAACAGGTTCTTCGGAAAAGGTGGCAAACAGAATCCAAAATCATCGAATATTCCTAAGAATGTCACGAAGAATGAAAAGGACGATGATAACCAGAAGGAAACAAAGAGTCCCAGTAAACATCAGCTAAAATCAGCCAGAAAAGCTGAAAGGGTAAGTCAATAATGCACTCTATGAACATCACGCTATTTGGGCTTGCATTGGTTTTGCTTTACTGATTGAGTTTCGTAAAACGAAAACCAAAGTAATTGCAACGGCCAATCAGAAGAAAGGAAAATACCCTGAAGAGCCAATCAAAGTAAACACAGCAAACCGTCTAAATCGCGGGAAAATGCGGGCGACCAGTGAGTGATTGGTGACAAAGACAACTTGAAGAGTGTTGGTCAATGTTTATAGGCACCGAAAACATGAAGAATTTCCTTTAACTAAACAACGTCGGGTATAACTGTAATGTGACACATTTTGTGTTGTCTTGTTTTTCGTAGAAAAAAAGAAAGGGAGGAAAAGGCCATGGAAAGAAAGGAAAAGCGTCGCAGCAGGTCGACGACAACAAACAAGATGATGATGATGATGATGATGAATTAGACAAGCGGGTGTCAGAGGAGGAAGGCCATGAACCTAACCAGATGAACGTGTCTGACCTGGAAGGAAGCGATAGTGATCAAGAGAACAAAGTGAATGAAACAGCGGTACCTGGGAATTATAGCCAAGGTTTTGAAGTGATTCCCAACAATGATATCCAATTGAGAGATGTTAGTAGCCGATCAAAGTCCTCTGAAGTCAACGAAAAAGACGTAGACACCTGTATTTTAGATGTAAACAACGGCGAATATTTAGCAGAAAACACAGTCGCTCGTGCTGGTACGGAGCAAACAGAGGGCGTGAAGGACATAGAAGAACAGCGCGCGATGCAAACAGAACAAAGTCCAGAACAATTTCGAGCGAAGGAGAGAGAGAGTTTGAATAGTAGAACGAATGGAAATGGTTTTTCTAATGGCAATGAAGAAGACAAACGTTCGCCCATGGAAATTTTGAAAAGTAACCAAGTAACTGCGTCAAAACATCTAAGTTGCGATTCTTCACGGTGCAGCCAAGAGAAAGGGACTGAGAAAGATGAACATTATCAACAAAGGTGTGAAGAATTCCCATCGAGCATAAAGGAATTTGTAGAAGAAATTATAAATATGGCTGTGCAGTACTTGAGTCTGGATAAACCCAACGAACTTCAAGACAAACTGGTTACTAGTAGATCATCGCAGAGTTCTTCGCCGACTTGTGTATCTAGTAGTGAGAAACAGGCTAAAGAAACACGAAATGATTTTCAAGAGAAAACAGAGGAAGCTGAAGTTGACACAAAGTCAACTAAAGCCGTTCCTAGTCTTGAGAGAGAACTGGATTGCGCCTCAACAGAGAAAAGAACAAACAATAAAGAGAACGAAAGATTTTGTTCGGATTCAGGAAAGAGCGATGAAAACGAAGGAACAACGGAGGTATCTGTAAAAAGCGAGGAAGAAAGTGAAACTGAGTCTGAAGAAGAATTTGAAAATGATCAAAGATTAGATAGGATTCTTACTGTACAACCTGCGTATCAACCCTCCCCAGGCGAATGCTCTGTGTTGTCGTGTTTAAGCCAATTTTGCGTCTCGGAATTATTAGACGGCAATAATAAATTTGCTTGTGAGGAGTGTACCAAGCGAGCGCAGCGGACCAAGAAGAAGAAGGGAGGTAGAACAACGAAAGACAGTGACAAAGATGAAGTTAGTGCAGACTGTTCTTCAGAAGGTAAGTTCAAGTCCTTTTTATTGGAAACTGTGCTGTGCGAGACATGCACGAGTGGCTGGTTCGTTAGACTCTGGGTCGAGAGGTCAGGGTTGATGCCGTGGCCGCGTCCTTTTGTGGCGTTCTTGGGTGCGTCTCTCACTCAGGAGTATAAAAGAATACCGCGGAAAACTCTCTGCGTTACAGACAGAGGACAAAAGCCGGCTTATCATACTAGCCAGTAACGCAACTCTTGCTCCTGAGGTATTCGTTACAAGCCAATGAAAGATAAAACGATCCGTCACCGTTAAAAAGCAATTTTTGATCGAGTGTCGTAGGGAAACCGGGATTGCTTCATATTTGCTTTACTTCGCTCGTTGATTGGACCAGAAAACTCGCGCCGTCATCTCACTGTGACCAATCAGATTCAAGACTAACATCAATCGCGACTGAGTCCTCTCGTTTTCCCGCGCCTCAGGTAGTTCCCTCGTTTTCACCTGACGTTCTTATTGGCTCCATGTATTGATTTCGTTTGTTCTGATTGGCTGTCTTGGTTTCTTTGGTTTATGACATTCGGTCAAATTGTACTTTATTTCAAAATTATTTTTAAGACACCTTGGCAAATTATATTTTTAGGCTTCTCGTTATTTCTCCATCAAGAGCAATGTATGGTAATTAAGAATTCTGTCTCGCGACTGATTGATTTTTTTTTTCTTGTTATTATTTTCTTGTTGTTTACAGATGAACTAAAAGGTGCCAAAGCCGAGAAGTCTTCGAAGAACAAGAACAAGGACTCCAAACAGCAGATCGTGTATACCGTGGCTAGTAAACAGATGCTGATCTCTCGTGCCCCACCAGTCCTCACTCTACACCTTAAACGATTCCAGCAAGCTCGTTTTACCTTGCAGAAACTCACCAAACACGTGGACTTTCCACTGGAACTGAACTTGGCGCCGTTTTGCAGCAGAAGTGGAAGGGTAAGCTGGGTTAAATGCTTATAAAAGCGATGTGTCGCGAGAGGGTTGAAGTTCGGGAAACATAAGACGCTTTTCCGTAAAACGCGCGATCATGGATAGATTCTTTACGGTTCTCAGTAACTCTTTCGATAATAGGAGCATTGTAATAAGTGCGGAACTCAGGGGACCCCCCTTTAGATTATGTTTGTTACTTATATGATCACGTGTAAAATCTCTCGCTCAAGCTTTTTAGTCGTCGTCTAGTTGAAATAACTTTAGACTGTCAGTCGTCGAACTAATCTAGACCTAAGACTCATTTTCTTAGATATCAAGGACCTCATATATGGTCAAAACTGGATAATATATTGAAAGGCTCCCTGAATATTGAATCTTTTGAAAAGAACATTAAGAAAAAGACCTCGCGTCACTGTAAACAACAACAATAGCTGCTGAGAACTGTGCAACTCTTAGAGACCACCTTTTATATACCCACTGTTTTAACGTACAATTTATACTTACGTATGATGCACGATCCTCGCAGTAGAGAGCGCTATCTATGCAATAGCGAAAATCAGACCTGAAAAAAATCAGGCCTGTACGGGATTCGAACCACTGATCTCTGCGATACTAGTGCGATACTAAATCGACACATTAATAAAGCTTTTACTTTACTTAACTTACTCTTTAGATTCACTTCAGCTATTCGTTTTAAGCGTAAGCGAAACAAGGGCTGAATACCCTGGGAGAACAAAGTTTCTTGCCCCTAATCTCAACAAAGTTACACCTAATCACAACAAATCCAGACCTCTCAATTCGGAGTCCAGTGCGTCCTACGTTTACTACCGTGTTCTTAACTATTGCCACTGGAAAATTTACGTTTCTGTTTTGTTTGTTTGTTTTGTTTTGTTCCAGAGTCGAGCAGACTCGGAAGGGCAAGTGCTGTACTCACTGTATGGAGTAATTCAACACAGCGGTAACATGAACAGCGGACATTACACAGCCTACGTGAAAGTCAGCGAACCGCCAGTGAAAAGTTTGTACGACAAAATTACTTCAATGAGTGATCTAACGAATTTTATTGAGAAAATGTGGACTCAAAAGTCCGACGCCAAACACGGTAGTTCCCGTACTCGTCATGAGCCTGCGCTGAGTGGTCAGTGGTTTCATGTCAGTGATTCAAGCGTTAGTGCCGCAGCGGAGAGTAAAGTGCTCAAGAGTCAAGCCTACATGTTGTTCTATGGCCGCCTTCCTCTTGTCAGTGGATGACAAATTTGATTTTTCTGGGCTTAGTAGAGATTTTAAAATCAAGGGTTAAAAATGATTCATGTTCAGTATGTTTTGCTCTGTTTTATGAGTTAAGTTTCAATCAAGCCATTTTCTTGGCCCGTTAGATACAATCTTTACTTGGTAGCACGCGATTGCCTCGCAAAATTTCCATCGCCTTGATTGGCCGTTGTAAGTATCTGGTTTCACAAATCTCAGTTTAACATAACCAAAGTAAAGCGCGCGCTCTGATTGGTCCATTCAGTGTCCTTCGTTTGCCCATGTGTGTACGCTGCTGACGTGAGCGGCAAATGCAAAGACTAGTTTCTACGCGCTTTTTTTTTCTGGTCACGTGAGATTTCAGCGTTAAATGAAAGAGAACTCTTTAGCTACAAAGTATCGATGTTATGTTATGAAACGAATGGTACATCTAGACACCACAGCGTACACTATTGAGTTATGGATGCACTTGAAAGGTTTGCTAAGTGCCGAAGAAGCTCTAGTCGGTCTCAGCTATCTCCTCGCGCGACTCTTACGCTTCTTTCGTGCTTAGCAACCTCCCGCGTGCATCCATCACTTAATACTAGTGTACACTGCGATGTTTCCTACTTGTTAATTGTTTTTGAAATGCAAGGGACTGGTCAGTATTCTCCTGTCAATGGTAGTTATCTGACTTTGTCACTGCGCATTGCTGCCAGGGTCTAGAGAGTGAAGCAACTCGTTAAGGCCAGGGTTAAAGTGAACCCTTCGGTCAAACCCAATAATTTCAAAAAGGAGCCGAAAAGGATAACTAATTTTCTAAGATATCCACTCGTTAATGAAAAAGAGTTTTGTCATCTACAGTTTCATAGCTGATATCTGTGGTGAGCTGGAATTTTCTGCGATCATCCATTGTAAACCAATCAAACTGTAAGACTAATAAAGAACTGAACGTGTTTACAACTCAAGACTAACATATCCACCGTTGTCTTCCGGGGCGGTAACGTCGCCAGTTTTTTTTCCTCAATTCCTCTACCAAAAAGGTACTTATCAGAACTTATCTGGCTTTACGCTATACCAATTGAAAAAAAAGAAGAAGAACTTTGCCGTTGTGTGAGCTGCTAGAAATCTAAAAACGTAACTTCTTTTAAAACCTGCAAGGTGCGTGAGACCTCGACGAACAGCTTGATCAGAGTACCAACAGGCTTCCCGAGAGGGGCTGGGAATAGCGTTAACCATTAAACTTCCAAGAGTGACCAGCATCTAATTTATCCTAACAGAAATACTGCAAATTCATTCATTATTGAAAGTAAAGAGAATGACTGCCACTCTAACAAACTTTGATTAACAAACGAATTTTCGTTGTCAGCACCAAAGGAAATTTGCAGAAAAGAGCATGGAGAATATGGATGCTGTTGTAAGGGTGTATTGTTACGGGTTGAGAGGCGGAAGCAGTTTGTATTCCTTTTCGTTTCCTCTGATCCAATTAGTGAGAAGTGAAAGAAGCATGTACTACGTGAGAGAATGAGACGAAGGCGAGCAAAATAAGAAAAGAGAAAAAGGCGACGAACGGAAACGAAGGTCAGAGAGGGGAAGCCGCTTTTTAGTTTAGCTTGCGAGGGGCTTCACATTCTGTGATTACATCATAATCTATTATGGAATATCGGCATGACTAAGCACCACAAGAAAAGCTCTGGGATATTCCGTGATATTCTAGAGTATTACGGTACACAGGAGACGTTATCTTGGTGACGTGAGGGTAAAAGTATTTGGTGCAGGGGGTTAAAAGGTTGTTGCTTCTAAGTGTTTGATCTCACATTGTCCAGTTGGCGCTTCAGGTATGTTGAGTCACCCGCGGGCGTTTTGATCCTGGGAACAAGGATAGTAACAATTTATTCAACATGGCGGAGTCAACGTCAACGTCAACATCAGGTGTCGCTGCAAAACTACTCAAAATTGTGGTTTTTGGAGCTACTGGTAGAACGGGAAAGGAAGTTGTGAAGCAAGCACTAGAAAAAGGACACCATGTGACTGCTGTGGTGAGAACACCTGAGAAAGTCGATATACAGTGAGTAAATTACTTGACAGTAGAATTCTCTGGCCTTGAACGAGACTTTGACGATACCCCCACCCTGTCCAAGGCTCGCTATGGAGGAGAAAGCGTCAAATGATCATGTATAACCACATTTAGATAGTGTACATGTGTCCGGGATTTGAGAGTAAGTGTTTAGTCTCGAAAAGGGGTTATTATGTTACATAATAAGCTAACGTTATGCTTAAGCATAACGTTAACTTAGTCTAATTTCATTCAGATTTTGGGCCGGGTATTGTAGAAGAATTATGCCATTGTTGAAAGCGTAATTGTTTTGGTAGAGTTTGGGTAAGAAAAAGCCATATGGGCTTGTTATCACGCTTGTTGGAAATTGAATAGAAAATAAGCCCTGTCTACGATGACGTAGTTTTCTTAAAATTCACCCCCACGCCTTGTTTGCACTAAAAATTTTAGTGAATGTTTGCCACTTTCTTGTTGTTTTAATGCGGGTATTTTTTCGATATCAGAGCTCTGCAAATACTTTCCCATTAAAATCCACCAATGGACACCTTGAAAAGAAGAAGCATTAGAGGTGAAAGTGGGTATTCCAGTGTAAACAATCATCGATAAGGTCTAGCAGCTAGCAAGTTATGTAATACTCATTAAGAGGGGGAAAGAGTTGAATCAAGCTAATTCTTCCCTTGCTAGCTTCCGCAATATGTCCATGGTACTGACTATCTATGGCCTTACCAAATGTTTTAGTTATAATAACTAGACCATCATCTTTTCATGTTATTCCAACAGGCATGAAAACTTGACAGTAGTGCAAGGTGACGCCTGTGACGTGGAAAGTTTTGCTAGTGCACTTGAAGGGAAAGATGCAGTGTTGTCGTCTCTGGGAGTCTATGCAAATGTTTTTAACCCTACAACATTCTATACTACAACCTTCAATGAAATAGCACAGGGAATGAGAAAGTAAGAGTTCTGTGTCAGTTATGACACTTTTTGGAATTTGCAAGTTGAATTTATGCTTTGTGGCTTTATTTCTCCTTGCAGTATGGTCAACAAAACTGCATATGCAACAACATCAATCATGAGGGTAAAATTTTAGTTCAATAGATATTCAGTCAAGGGGTACACAGTCCTGAGGGCCAGTTTAAGGAGCTAGTCTTTTGAGGCTGTTGTAATGATAAACCACTGGGAACACACGCAGCGCTAATCAGTTATTCATTAATGATATGCTTAATTTTGAAAAAGCCATAGAGTGTTCTATAACACAAGTGATTATAAGTTAGGCTTGGGGTTACCTTTCCAGTATGTGCACTGGGTTCCTTCAATTTTTCACTCACAGTCATTAAATTTTGATTTTTCTCAACCATGTTTGAAGAGAAGCAGAATGTGTGTCAGTCTCTGAAAATCAACCCAATCAAGTTATTTTGATTTCTATCGAAAGTTATGAAGAATGTGTTAATCACTACTTTGTTTTATTTATTGTTTTCTGTGATCTAGAAACAAAGTCACCAGACTAGTGACTGTCACATCATGGTGTACTCGGCCAGGACCAAATAATTCTTGGTTTGTGGAATGGATTTTAAAACCATTCTTTCTTAATGGAGTTATCAAGAATATGGCAGAAATGGAGGAAATGTTGGAGAGTTCTGATCCTGATCTTTTAAACTACACAATTGTCAGGCCATGTGGGCTAACCCTGGGTAAATCAGGAAACTTTTTGTGTTGCTGTACAAAAACACATTTAACTTTATGTTTTGCTAAGATTTACAAGCTAGTCTAGTTGCAATAATCTTGTTTTGGTTGTACACACATTTTACAAATGGTAAACAGCACAGCATACACTATTGCTTTATAGATGCAATACAATACATAGCTTATATAGCACAATGCTTCTCAAAGATCCAGCAGCACTTTACAAAGATAGTGATAGAAAAATATTTATAATCAATTAAGAATTAAAGCGAATTAAAAAACTAGTGAAAAATCAATGAAAGCAAAAACTACAACTGCCTAAATAAATGGGTTTTAAGTTTAGACTTAAATGTTGTTAAAAGGTCCACTTGCCTAATGTCATCCGGCAAGGCATTCCACACACTAGGGGCTCTATGAGAGAATGCTCTATATCCATATGCTTTAAGCTTGCCTCTAGGTACCATTAAGAGTTTTTTCTTAGAAGATCGTAGCTTTCTCTTAGGAATGTACAGTCCTAGCAGTTCACTAAGATATAGAGGACTAGGACCATTTAATACTTTAAAAACGAGAAAAAGTATCTTAAAATCAATACAGGCGGACACAGCCAGCCAATCTAGGCTTCTAAGTATAGGTGTAATGTGATCATATCTGCTGGTGGCTTTAAGCAGGTGGGCAGCTGAAATTTGTACATGTTGTAGTCTTAATTTGTGACTGCTGTAGGCCAGATAGAAGAATGTTGCAATAATCCAACTTTGTATTGTAGATTCACATGGGAGGTTGCTAAGCATGAAAGAAGCATAAGAGTCGTGCGAGGTGATAGCCAAGAGTCCTAGTGTTTTGAGTGGTTAGCAAACCTCCCAAGTGCACCCATAAGTCAATACTGTACACTGTGGCATTTACCATTTGTTTTATAACATAACGCTGATACATGGTGGCAAAAGTGTTGTCTTTTATTTAACAAATCATAGGTGACCAAAAAATACAAGCACGCATGGAAAACTAGTCTTTGCTTTTGCTCAGGTCAGCAGTGTACACCCATGTGCAAATGGTGGCCACTGAATTGACCAATCAGAGGGTGTGCTTTACTTTGGTTATATTATGATTAAGTTTCTAATCCATCTTGAGTTTTAGATA